GGCGTTTTTTAAGAATTAAAAATAATCTGATTTTGGAGTTTGACAATGAACACATTGCAATCACGCTTGGGACGGCCCATATAAATGAGCAAAAATGCTTTACATGTCTTGAAATAATAATTTCTAAACATTAAACATTGACTGTCAGTGTTTATTCACCTGTTTCTTGTTGTTTCTCATAAGATGAAAAATTTACTTAAGCCAGAATTTTAATTTTACTATGGTAAACCAAATGTTCGTTGATATCTTCAAAAGATTTTAGAATTTTGGCACACTTTTTTTTTCTATATAATGTTGATATGGTAACTAATAAATACTGTAAATTCAGTCTAAAATAACAGTCAAAGGTTCGCTGTTACTGTGACTTTCACAAAGCAAACTGAGTTCTCACTGACATTCAGACAATATGAACCCAGAGAATCTCAGGTGAATCGTGTCGACAGATTCGCTCGCTGCGTTACAGAGACGTCACGCTGCGTCGACGCTAGTGACGCTACAGGAGACCAGAGAACCATCTGTCACATGACTAATGAGAAACGACACCCGCTGACACACACACACACACACCTTCCTTTACAAGCAGAAAGATAAAGGCTTTTACTCTCGTTTTGCACGAAGACTCTCTCAGTTTGTGATCTGCTCTTACACAAAGATACATATTCACTGGTTAAAGCGATCGTTCACTGGAAATGTATCATTTACTCTCGCTCATGTCAATCAAACCTTTGTCTTTCCTCTGTAAAAGAAGAACAACACTGGACCCACTGCATGGACAAAAACACGGATCATTTCTCAAAACATCCTCATAAGAGTAAGAAAGTACAGATACAGGTTTGAATGGCATCAGTAAATGATGACAGAATGATCATTTTGGGTGAATGTTTCATTTAACAAACTCTTCCTGTGTCTGTAATGCTCACTTCCTGTCTGTCTGACACACTTGCGGTTTTTCTACTAATAACGCTAATGGGAAAAAAGAAGCTCTGAATCATTTACATCAGGTGCTCTGTGTTTGTGTTTCTTGCTCTGGATCTGTATTCCTGTCGGACTGACGCTCAGGCCTGCAGATTTATTATCAGCTGCTTTACTCTTGTTTTCTTCTCATTCTACACACGTCAGTGAAACAGACATTCTAGATCTCGATCCCGAAGGGTTTGTGTGCAGCTGGAATATCAAATAAACATGTAGTGCAGCGATGCGACAGATGCTGCTGTCAGAACGACTTTCTGATTCACGTCAGAAATCAGTTCTGCTATAGCTCTCCATGTGCTCACAGACAGACGGCATGATGGGAAATCTCTGCTGACTGAAGGTCTTTCTCGAAAGCGAAGCTGTCAGTCAGGCAGGGAAACTCAGAGGAACTAGAACCGAGAGAAAATCCACAGGAACGAGAGCTTCACATGAACACAAGATCCGTTTTCATTCGGGCTGTCGATGGATGCAAACATTTACTTGCGTTTGATTATGTAAATTTGTCATAGTAAACACATTCAGGTCCAAGAAAACGAAATAACAGGCTGCTGCGTAACAATTCGTGTGGCCAGTGTGTCTCTTCAGATTCTCTCTTTTTTGAAGGACTTCAGTATCTGGGCTCCAGCTGACTAGACAGATTATCGAGAAAGATAAATGTACTGTAGGATGGAGACTTGATTTTATCTGCCAGTTGTTGATTGGATGTTGAGATGTGGGCGTGGCATTTACAAATGGAGGTGGATCTGAATGTGAGTGCAGTGGATTATAATAAATGGGCGGAGTTAAAGAACATTAAATGATTGGAGGAGACCTGCATACGTCACCAGAGAGAAACCTAAAGTTCACTGGAAGATTCAGTCATGCAGTAATTTTGATTATCAAAAACAAGGTCAAAAATTATTTTTAAAGGGGTCATATGATGTTGCTAAAAAGAACATTATTTTGTGTATTTGGTGTAATGAAATGTGTTTATGCGGTTTAAGGTTCAAAAAACACATTATTTTCCACATACTGTACATTATTGTTTCTCATCTATGCCCCGCCTTTCTGAAACGCGTCGATTTTTACAAAGCTTATCGTTCTGAGAAGCGAGGTGTGCTGTGATTGGCCAGCTATCCAATGTGTTGTGATTGGCCGAATACCTCAAGCGTGAGACGGAAATGTAACGCCCCTTGCCATATTGTGATGATGCCCTGTCCGGCCGGAGCCACGAGACAAAAACATGAAAACCCATTATAAACGAGGCATTCGTTGCATCAACGAAACACACAGCGTCTTCACGACATGGCGGCGGCAACAATACTACAGCGAGACTAAAAGTTACGCCTTCTTTCTTTGCGTGAACATTTGGGTGGCGTTATGCAAATCTTCCCACATAGTGAGGTAGACATGTGGGGGCGTGTTAGAACGAGCCGTTTTAGGTAGGCGTGGCTGATTCTTAACTTTTATAAAGAATATCTCTTTGGATTTGAGACTTTAGTCTTTGCAACTGTACAGATCTTCTTTATGCACTAAGAGCTTGTAACACTCCGAAGAGAAAGGAAAAAATTAAATCGCATCATATGACCCCTTTTAAAAAACTGCACAGATTAATCATTCACGAAAATTTATATAACATGCATTTAGAAAATAGGTAGAGGGTGAATATTTATTTCATGACGACTTTAACATTGGAAATATGCAGCTTTGTGTTCTAATGTTTCAGTCTGTAAATCAAAATACTCTCTGTGAGCTGTACGAAGCACCACATGTTTCTAAAGAAGAACATCAAAAAACAACCTGAAAACCTCAATCCTCAAAGTTTAATGAAGCCCTAGGCATTTCTGCATCAGCATCTGAAGCTCACATTAAACTCAGATGCTGCTCGCTGTGATACACGTGATGCTGTTTAAAAGAGCTGAGAATGACCAAAAACCTGCTTAAACATAGTGTGTGTGTTTGGTTGTGAGGGAAAACTTCAGACAATGTCCTCACAAAGAAAAGTGAAGTGAGAAGTCTGACGCTTGATGACATTTCTCTCTGAGAGCTCATTAAACTCCGATTTAGCGATTACTAGCAGAGATCTCGTTATAATGAAGCACAGAAATACCACTATCAGTAACAGCTGTATTAACCTCAGAATAAGCCATCATCTGTCATTCTCCATCAGTTTACATTTACATTTACATTTACATTTAGTCATTTAGCAGACGCTTTTATCCAAAGCGACTTAATTAGCACAGCCAATAGTCTATAGCAGGGCAATTCCTCAAATCGAAACTACAGTTCGCACTTAAACGCAGGAAGGGAGCAATTAAATTACACGCGCTCCTTCTTAGCCGAGGGCAATTATTATAATTATTAAAAGTTTACCAGTGAAATATCAGTGAATAGAGCTGAGAGCAGAGAAGCACACACTGACAACTCAAACACACACATTAAATCATGCAGCACTTCATGCGTGTCACTCACCGTCTGTGAAGCTTGCGTGTCATGATCAGATGAGCGTGTGCACACGCGTGTTCTACCTCTAAACACACGTCAACATTTACACAGCACGAGAACAGACGGATCTCAGATTGAGACGCTACAGAGGAACCAGAGCGAGATGGAGGACGGAGGGAGGAGGACAAACATATTCAACAGAGAGGAGAGGAGAGGAGAGGAGAGAGAAGGAGGAGAGGAGAGGAGGAGGATGAGGAGGAGAAGAGAGGAGTGGAGAGGAGAGGGGGAGGA